TTAAGTTCCAAAGCACACTTGAATCTCCACCAGTAGAAGCTTCATTCTTGCACTTCTAAGATCTTGATTTGTCCGACCTCTTCTCTCTTCAACACCTTTGAAAATGTCTGGCCCCTCCGACCGTCGTTTTGACTTGAACCTTGTTGAAGAGGCAGCCCCGCCTTCTCCAGACAACATATGGCGCCCATCCTTCGTCTCCCCTACTGGTCCTCTTACCGTTGGGGATTCCGTGATGAAGAATGATATGACCGCTGCGGTGGTGGCCAGGAACCTTCTCACTCCCAAAGATAACAGACTACTTTCCAAACGGTCTGATGAGTTAGCTGTTAAGGATTCGCTGGCTCTCAGTGTTCAGTGTGCAGGTTCTGTGTCTAATATGGCCCAACGCCTATTTGCTCGAACCCGCCAAGTTGAATCATTGGCGGCTGAAGTGATGAGTCTCAAACAGGAGATTAGAGGGCTCAAGCATGAGAATAAACAGTTGCACCGGCTCGCACACATGACTATGCTACAAACATGAAGAGGAAGCTTGACCAGATGAAGGAAACTGATGGTCAGGTTTTACTTGATCATCAGAGATTTGTGGGTTTGTTCCAAAAGGCATTTATTGCCTTCGTCTTCTGGGGCTGTACCGCGTAATGAAGCTCCAAATGATCAACCTCTGATGCCTCCTCCTTCTAGGGTTCTGTCCAGTACTGAGGCTCCAAATGATCCCCCTCCGGTGCCTTCTCTTTCTGGGGCTCTACCGACTGCTGAGACTTCTCCTAAGCAACCTTTGTGAAGGCTCCCTCTTGTGTGTTTATTTTGACTCATGTATATGTACATATTTGTAGCTTATCGGGGATATCAATAAATAAGCTTTCCTTCATTTCAACGTATTGTGTTAAATACACCAAAGCCTTCTTCGCTAAGTTCTTTGAATTTTCTTTTGTTGAAGCTTGTATGTTGAAGCTTTCTGAGTGGAGCATGTAGGTTGGGGTAGTGTTCCCTTAATTTTCCGAGTGAGGAAAACTTCTCGGTTGGAGACTTGGAAAATCCAAGTCACTGAGTGGGATCGGCTATATGAATCTTAGAACGCCATTGTGCTCGATCCTGTGTCATGTCCTTCGTTAGATCCAAGTACTCTAAGTCTTTTCTTAGAGTCTCTTCCAAAGTTTTCCTAGGTCTTCCTCTACCCCTTCGGCCCTGAACCTCTGTCCCATAGTCGCATCTTCTAATCGGAGCGTCAGTAGGCCTTCTTTGCACATGTCCAAACCACCGTAACCGATTTTTTCTCTCATCTTTCCTTCAATTTCGGCTACTCCTACTTTACCCCGGATATCCTCATTCCTAATCTTATCCTTTCTCGTGTGCCCACACATCCAACGAAGCATCCTCATCTCCGCTACACACCCATTTTGTGTACGTGTTGATGTTTCACCGCCCAACATTCTGTGCCATACAGCATCGCCGGCCTTATTGCCGTCCTATAAAATTTTCCCTTGAGCTTCAGTGGCATACGGCGGTCACACAACACGCCGGATGCACTCTTCCACTTCATCCATCCAGCTTGTATTCTATGGTTGAGATCTCCATCTAATTCTCCGTTCTTTTGCAAGATAGATCCTAGGTAACGAAAACGGTCGCTCTTTGGTATTTCTTGATCTCCGATCCTCACCCCTAACTCGTTTTGGCCTCCATTTGCACTGAACTTGCACTCCATATATTCTGTCTTTGATCGGCTTAGGCGAAGACCTTTAGATTCCAACACTTCTCTCCAAAGGTTAAGCTTTGCATTTACCCCTTCCTGAGTTTCATCTATCAACACTATATCGTCTGCGAAAAGCATACACCAAGGAATATCATCTTGAATATGTCCTGTTAACTCATCCATTACCAACGCAAAAAGGTAAGGACTTAAGGATGAGCCTTGATGTAATCCTACAGTTATGGGAAAGCTTTCGGTTTGTCCTTCATGAGTTCTTACGGCAGTCTTTGCTCCTTCATACATATCCTTTATAGCTTGGATATATGCTACTCGTACTCCTTTCTTCTCTAAAATCCTCCAAAGAATGTCTCTTGGGACCCTATCATACGCTTTTTCCAAATCTATAAAGACCATGTGTAAATCCTTTTTCCCATCTCTATATCTTTCCATCAATCTTCGTAAGAGATAGATTGCCTCCATGGTTGAGCGCCCTGGCATGAACCCGAATTGGTTGTCCGAAACCCGTGTCTCTTGCCTCAATCTATGCTCAATGACTCTCTCCCAGAGCTTCATTGTATGACTCATTAGCTTAATACCCCTATAGTTCATGCAATTTTGTACGTCGCCCTTATTCTTGTAGATAGGCACCAAAGTGCTCGTTCGCCACTCATTTGGCATCTTCTTCGTTTTCAAAATCCTATTGAAAAGGTCAGTGAGCCATGTTATACCTGTCTCTCCCAAAAGTTTCCACACTTCGATTGGTATATATCGTCTGGGCCTATTGCTTTTTTATGCTTCATCTTCTTCAAAGCTACAACCACTTCTTCCTTCCGGATTCGACGATAAAAAAGAGTAGTTTCTACACTCTTCTGAGTTACTCAACTCCCCTAAAGAAGCACTCATTTCATGTCCTTCATTGAAAAGATTATGAAAATAACCTCTCCATCTGTCTTTAACCGCGTTCTCTGTAGCAAGAACCTTTCCATCCTCATCCTTGATGCACCTCACTTGGTTTAGGTCCCTTGTCTTCTTTTCCCTTGCTCTAGATAGTTTATAGATATCCAACTCTCCTTCTTTGGTATCTAGTCGTTTATACATATCGTCGTAAGCCGCTAACTTAGCTTCTCTGACAGCTTTCTTCGCCTCTTGCTTCGCTTTTCTATACCTTTCACCATTTTCATCGGTCCTCTCCTTGTATAAGGCTTTACAACATTCCTTCTTAGCCTTCACCTTTGTTTGTACCTCCTCATTCCACCACCAAGATTCCTTTTGGTGTGGGGGCAAAGCCCTTGGACTCTCCTAATACCTCTTTTGCTACTTTTCGGATACAACTAGCCATGGAATCCCACATTTGGCTAGCTTCCCCCTCTCTATCCCACACACATTGGGTGATTACCTTCTCTTTGAAAATGGCTTGTTTTTCTTCTTTTAGATTCCACCATCTAGTCCTTGGGCACTTCCAAGTCTTGTTCTTTTGTCTTACTCTTTTGATATGTACATCCATCACCAACAAGCGATGTTGATTAGCCACGCTCTCTCCTGGTATAACTTTGCAATCCTTACAAGTTATACGATCCCCTTTCCTCATTAGAAGAAAATCTATTTGTGTTTTTGACGACCCACTCTTGTAGGTGATCACATGTTCTTCTCTCTTCTTAAAGAAGGTGTTGGCTAAGAAGAGATCATATGCCATTGCAAAATCCAAGATAGCTTCCCCATCCTCGTTTCTCTCCCCAAAACCATGGCCACCATGAAAACCTCCATAGTTGCCTGTCTCCCTGCCCACGTGTCCATTTAAATCTCCTCCTATAAATAACTTCTCCGTCTGAGCAATTCCTTGCACCAAGTCTCCAAGATCTTCCCAAAATTTCTCCTTCGAACTCGTATCCAACCCTACTTGAGGTGCGTACGCACTAATCACATTGATAAGTTCTTGTCCTATTACAATCTTGATTGCCATGATTCTATCTCCTACCCTCTTGACATCTACAACATCTTGTACCAAGGTCTTGTCCACGATGATGCCAACACCGTTTCTCGTTCTATTTGTGCCCGAATACCAAAGTTTAAACCCTGAGTTTTCTAGATCCTTTGCCTTACTACCAACCCACTTAGTTTCTTGTAGGCACATAATATTTATCCTTCTCCTCACCATAACTTCCACTACTTCCATAGATTTTCCCGTTAAGGTTCCTATATTCCACGTTCCTAAACGCATTTTGCTCTCTTGAACTCTACCCTTCTGTCCTAGCTTCTTCACCCTCCCCCGTCTAATAGGATCAAAGTACTTCTTTTGTGTGTCCCGGGTAAAGTTGATAGGAGCATATGCTCCCAAACAACTTTGAGTGGAGTCGTTCGAAAAGAAGTTTCTATGGCCCCCTTGCTCATTTAACACTGCATCCGGGTGCCGATGGAGATACAGCGACCCTTGCTCACTTATCACTGTGCTAATCTATCATTTGACAAAAAAACAAAAAAGCATAAGTACCCCTTAAGTCGTTGCATTTGCATAATTTTCCTCGTATTTAACTAGTTTCCATGGTATAAGTCTACCATTGATGATTAGTGCACGAACATAACAGCAAATATAAAATTGTAATATATCAAAAGTCACCCAATTTGGCAAAGGACAAAAAATAACAAATATGTATCCTTTAAAACATGTGATAATATCCAATAGTTGAATTTATTTTAGGTGTAATAATTTCCCTAGAAATTTAGGTGCCAATGCTGCATTAGGAATAGGAAGTGTCCATTTGCATGCACCTCCACTTATTATATTAAAAAATTATTTGTAAGTTCAGCTGCATAATATATGGTCAATGGCTACTCTTTCATATTCGCATTCGCACACAGGACAGAGTATAGTGTGGACACCAAAAAAAAAAAAAAAAAAAAAAACTTAATTTCAATAAAAAAAGTTTTGAAATATTTGGATTTTTGTTATGGTTATTTACTGGAATTATGAACTTTGTAATTAAGTTTTGTATTTGTGTCATGTTTATTGTTAGTTTTTGTTGTATTTTATTCATAGTTTTTATATTTAATTATACACTGACAGATTAAAAATGATAAACATAATATTATACAACAAAATAAATTGAATTCATACACACGTCTTCTCAAACGAGAGAACAACTATTGTCGCAATGTATTTTTCGAACCAGAGAAGATGGTGGACGGGATACCCAGACCTCGTTCGATGTCTTCTCAAACGCTAGTGCGGCGAGACCAAAAACGCCCGAGTTGCTCATTTTTTGCGCAACCATAGCGTGTGTTGTACCAGTTCAAGCTGTACACAAGTATAAAACCTAGACACTAAATACCATATCACATCGGTATAAACGTATTTTCCGGGTCAAAAGAATTCCTGTTGATTCGAAGATTGTCAGGCATAGACACAAGTATTCATCTCACACATGGGCTGCTAAATCCGGTATCAAAAATTCCTCACATTACATATTTAGCTAAACGGGCTGCTAAATCAACCCTACTTCAATTAAAGGCACTGATAAACTATATCTAAAATGCCACTTTTGTAAGTTCAGTTTACACGCTGTTGGCAACTGCGACAGCCCTGTTAAGAAGCCCCGTTAACCGCAGCTGCGGTGTGCATGCTCAGGTCCTCACCCTGTGGCACAGCATGTCCATACCCGCCATAACCCTGTCCTCCATAGTGTGCTCCATTCCACTGGTTACTTGAATCCGACCTCCACTGCAAAAACACATGTAGTCAATAATGAGAAAATTACAACTGGGTGAGAGAGAGAATTACCCTAGGGGACAATTCATCAACTCTAAGAGAGGTTAGGTTCTAGGCTATAGGGGTGGGGTCAAGAAAGTGCGAAAATGGTGCGACTTTACCAAAGGATGGGGCATAATTGTGGTAGTCTAATGTTGCTGACGTTGGGATCATTTTGGAGTGCAAGAAGAGAAGGGGGTAGGGGCGCGAGATTATGTGTTGCCGTACTATGTTGTAGAGCACAATAAAGATCAAACCAGACAAATGCCAAGAGAAATACAGGTGATATTCAGAGATAGATTTCTGAGTGTTACATAGCCTGATAGTCAGCAGACAATTAAATGAAATAAATCACCAAGTATTACCTGCTTGTTCCCCTGACTGCGACCCCAAGAAAGTCGAACTGTTTGCTTGCCAATAACCGTTCCATTCAGCATCTGTATTGCGTTCTCAGCATCCTTCCTGCAAACCGAAACAATATTAGGTAGTCCGTTACATGGTTGATGGTTCCAAGAAATAAGATTACTACCTACCTCCTTCAGTCTTCTAAAAATTTTGATTGTATTTCTTATATACAGTTTATTGTTTAATAAATCATTTTAACATTGATATTGACATTGCAGCTTTATTTCCAAATAACAAGATATTAGGACCCATATATCTTAAATAAGAGTACCTATTAGCAAACTGAACAAAACCACACGCTTTTCCAACTGGTATTTTCACAGAGACAACTTCACCAAAATGAGAAAAAGGCAGCCGGAGGTCTTCATCATTGACCTCAGAATCAAGCCCTCCAACAAATATCTACAAAAATTGATAGATTAAAGAGCTATACAAGGTTAATGATACTTTTAACGGGAAAGAAGACACAAACTTACAGTTGTGTTATTAGGCTCACTGTCAAACTGGGAACCTTGGGCGACGGCACCATTTGATGCATGTCCACCACCAGCCAATACCAATGCTAAGTCAAGGGAAAAAAAGGTAATACATTTAGTCCCACTCGAAATACACAACATGTTAAAGTAGAAAGCTGCATTTTCCAACAATAAGCTAGAACTTATGATTGATTCTAGGAGCGGATCCAGGCTTCTTATCTTTTATTTCCTTTCAGATGGGGGCAAGTGCAACAGTGGATTTGTTTGGCACAGAGTGCCATAGCAGGTTCAAACCTAATGCCATTATAAGTAAAAATCCAACTAGCTTGGTGGAAACCTACTCTTTCTGAAGCAAAGAAAAATACTAACAGTGCATGTGAGATGGCATAAGCTTAACTTCTCACTTTGAATAGCAACTCTACTAAATTAAAGATTTGAAAATTTCAGGCGGGATATCATCTAAACTTCTAAAGATTACCGAACTTCGTGAAGACAATTTGCAAAGATAGGAAAAAGTACTCAGCATATGAAACCACCAGTACGTACATACCTTATGTCAGCAATTAAATGACTAATTGTTAGTGGTTTCACCAAAAAAGCAGTTAAGAGAGATGCTGAAAAAGGATAAAATAGTAATAGAAGAACATAATATAATAAAAATTCCTGTGCAGTTTGAAATGAAAGTTTCCAGGGGAGGAGAACAAACGTTAGTGTTTTGAAATCAATTGATAGGAAAATAAATTCCTAAAAATGTTTAATTGTAATTGAAACTTTCTTTTGAAGATGTTAGTATCAGTGACAACCCGTACATTATAGATTTGGTATCTATGAAAAGAATTTACCATGCAGGAAACGACCCTATAAAACTCTCAAAACAAAATCCAGAACCAAAGGGATAAGACCACGAAATAGGAAGCAAAGAAAACAAATAATCCAAAAAACTAAAACTTATAAAATTCACTCATGGCTTGAGTATTACACAGGCAATCTAAAAACACAAAGCCACATGAACCGCCATGCCTCCAACAATTGAAGTAATGATGATGATTTGTACTACCATTGCTGTAGTAGAATTAGAGAAGCTCTCTAATAAAAGATGCTGGAGAAAGAATTAAAAAGTGCAACAAATATAGACAAGAATAGGCAATGATGCTGCTGATAACTCACTTACGATTTTTTTTCTGAACCACTCTCCAACTCTTATCTAAAACCATCTAACATATCATCTTACATCACAAAACGAGCAGATAGATACAACTGACATTAAATGATCATAGAGAAAAGTACAGAACATAGAAAGAAAGAAAAAGGGAATTGCGGAGCATGAGCAATTACAATTATGTAAATAATAAGCAAGCTAGACTTGTTATCAAAGGTGCATAGACAAAAATGAGCGGACTTTCGACGGAGACATATATTCATAAAGAAGGGCAGAAGAAACCAATATGAAGCAAAAAACAAAAAATCCGGAGGGCATTATATCATACCTTGTGAAGAATACTGTTGTTGATATGCAGGTGCTTTTTTGGGTGTTGCAACACCGATGCGCATGGCCCTGCTCGAACAATACGCACCATTCATTTCGGCAATAGCCCTTGACCTCTCATTTTCATCACCAAACCTAACAAAACCATAACCTTTTGAACGTCCAGTATTTGCATCTAGAACAACTTTCGCTCCCTTAACAGATGAATATCTACTAGAAAAAGTCTCCTGCAACATAGTGTCAGTGACATCTGTAGCCAAATCTCCTACAAAGATAGATAGATCAGCACTAGTGTCTGCTCGTCTATCACCAGCACTGAAGGTTGCCCAGTTTAAACGAAAAGGCTGCTCTGTATTTGGCATTGCAGTTCCGTTATAGTTCTGCAAAACTTCCTCAGCTGCTTCCCGTGAATAGAACTCAACGAATCCATATCCCTCTGACTGACCAGTTTGCTTATTGCGTATTACCTTAATTGAGGAAACCTTCAAAGTTCGTGACACCAAAAGCACATAGTTAGCAGCAAAGTACTTGACAACAGCATTTTGTCAAATATTTGGCAATACTAAACAAGAGGCCGCAAAAGCAACATGAGATAACTACACAATTAAAAAACATCCCAAGTGCCCAATAATCACTATCATTCACTTGACCCCAATTTAGCAGGGGAGGATGACAGGCTGGAAACAGAAGCTTACTTATCCGTATCAAATATAACTACCAGATGATCGGATGCCCAAAATAGCATTCAAACAAGGATTTTGGCTCTGCAATAATTGAAAATTGACATATACGAAGTTCAAAGCAAAAATTTTGGTTTCCCAATAGTTGACAGAAGACATGTAAACTACCTAAAGTAAAGACAAAAGTAATCAAAACATGGAAAAAGAGTTTCACACCACATGAATGGTTTGGAGTAGAATGGGCATTGCCGTAACACTACTACAAAATGGGAGTGGATCAACTGCTATTGCTCCCCCCTCTATCGGAAAAAGACAATAGCCACTCAAGGAGGGGTTTGCATTTAATTTGTTAAGCTATGGTCATTATATTCAACAAGAAACTGTTGCTAGAAATCTCACATATTCAACAGTATTCATAGACCATATATACCGCTGTTTGGTCGTAGGATACTACTATAAGCTGAACTAGCCGCCAATCTACAATAAACAGAGTTGACCCAACATAGCCAGTAAAGAAGCAGACCTCTCCACTGAACATACTCAATTTCTATCTAGGTATACGCATCTTGATGTACCAAGAGCGATTTTCGAAGTGGGTGGTTAGTGTTAATCTTACTCTTTCAATCGGCGTTCCATTTCCGACTACCGAAAAACCGCAAAGACAAGCTAGGATACACTATGACTATCCCACAGCATACAATCATAAAAGAAACCACTAGGGCAATCACACAACAAACAATCACAAAAGAAATCATCAACCTCCAATCAATCATAGAGCTGTAACTATGTCCATGAAATCCACTGAAGCTAAAAGCTAACCTGTCCAGTGTGCGCAAAGCATCCGTGAAGGTAAGTCTCGTCCATCCAATGATGAAGGTCGCCAACCCAGATGGTCCTGACCTCGTCGTTGGGCCCCTGTTTTTGTGACGGCGACTGCTGCTGCTGCAGCTGCTTCGGCGGCTGCTGTTGCTGCTGATACGCCACAGCCTGAGGCTGCTGCTGGTACGGATTGGGGTGAGGATGATGAGGAGCCGCCCCGTAAGGCATGTAATGCTGCGGGTACACCATCATCTGCTGCTGCATCATCGCCATCGCCGCCGCCGGGTACTGCATGGCCATCCATTGCTGCTGGTGCATCCATTGCTGCTGGTGGTGCTGCTGTTGTTGCTGCTGGTGCTGCGGAGTGCCCAGATCGCTGCCGCCGTTGGATTGCTGGGCCATGTATGAAGTTCCGAGCTTGTGATCTTCTCTTCTCTCTGCACCTCTCTCTCTAGAATTCTTGGTTCTGTGTGTTCTGTGAGATCTGAGGAGAGAGAGCAGAGAGGGAGGCTTGAAGCTAGAGAGAGAGGGAGGCGAGGGCGGCGCGGAAGCAAAAGAGGGAGGGTTTGAAGTGACGAATGGGGTTTTAAAGGGATTATTGCTTCTCATTTACATTTTTTTTTTATTTCATTTTTGTAGGTGTATTTTCTTTTTTTTTAAGATGAGACCTCGTTTGCCACGTCCGTAAAATCACGTTTGCCGTCCGCGATGGGGTAGGATTTTCTGTCCTTCTAATCTCTTAGTTCATTCTCTTTTTATTTAAACGGTTAGATTAAGAGTCAATATTTTGTTTAAATTTTTATAGAAAGGAAAAGATAAAAAGAAAAACGTGAGAAAATGAGAGAGAAATAGATGGCAATAAGAGAGGAAAAATCTTACTCCGTACATGAACAAGATGGGAGTGCAACGATTTTTAAGTGTGTTCGCGGTGCATAGGGCGCACTAGAAGATGGGACACGCTGAAAACTCTTTTCATGAGTGGATGCTAAGTGGTGCTTGGGTGAGCTGGATTGCATGTTATCAAATTTTCACTTAATTTGTCCTTTTATTTTGGCTAATTAAGCTACTCCAGTGAGTCAACGACTTGGCATGAACCTAATGATGGTAGATTAAATGATATTCATCCAAGTGACACTTAACGTGGCGGTAATGTTTTGCTGACGACCAAATTTGCTATCAAATCGTAATACACTCAACTCAAATATTTGTTTTAATAGACTTGGATGTATTATCCAAATTATGTAAAGGGATTGGCATGATTCTGTCGAGAATATATTTGCTCACAACCCTTAATTTGTGAAATGCCGAGCATTTGCCATCATAATACAAGTAATAAGATAAATTAAATTTTTGAAATTCATGAGCCGGGTAGAATAAATTGCACTCATTCAATACATGTATTGTAGTAGTCATGCTCAACGCCAATTAAGTTATATGATCGTGAACGGTGAACCAAATGGTCAAATGTGTGGATCTTAATGATCCTACATTGAAATTATTACTTAATTAGCCCACAAGGGTTGAACCAAACAAATTTTGCCAAACAAAAAAAAATTAAGATCCTCAAATCCAATTCCAAATTCCTATTCTTTCCCTTTCAGAGGAATTCTCTTTAATTATTGTCAAATATAGCCATGAAAAACTACATGCAAACTGCGTACATAGCCACTTTTGAAGTTATTTATAGCTAAAAACATGTATGAAAATAAATTTATGGCCTGTCCCTTAAGAAGAAGGGTGGAATTTGTAACAAAAAAAGATGGGATTGTGGTCCTTTTGCAGATTCAAGCTTTAGGGGTTTAAAAGTGGAATTTTGGAAAATGGAGGGGAGGTGACTTGAATTTTTGTCCTTATCTGGCCAAAACAGGCAACCCAAATTGGGTCCCACAATTGACGCGAGTTACATCTAACGGTTAACAATAGGGCAGCCGACATAGAGGGATGAAAGCGCGGTCGTACGCGCTCCTTTCGTGTGCCGGATTGCATATCTTTGACCAGCCTATACCGTCCGGTCAAAGATCCAAGATGTCCTACCCCACCAGACAAACTATCTAATATATAAAACCAACCCAAAAGGTAAACAGTGATTTTGGTATTACCAAGTTTAAACAAAATATTTGGACAAAAATACCCTCAAGACAAAAAATTTCAAAGACACCCAAAATAATGCATCAAATATATAATAGGGGCATTTTCATCTTTTTAACAGTGCTTTTTAATAATTAATTTTTTGGTACATTTTTTTTAATTAATACCTTATAATAGGTTAGTAATAATGTAATTCAATTTCTCTATTTTTAAGCACGTTCAAAACATTTTAAGAGGCGTGTAATGACGATTATAAAAAAAGTATTTCGCACACGGATAATAATGTGATTAAATAAGTTGTCAAATGATTTTTTTATTTTTACTTTATTTTTTACAAACGGTATTGTCTACACACTAAGGAGGAAGGGATGAGCTTAGCCTCATAATAGGTTAGCAATAATGTGATTCAAGGTTGTTTATTAAATATTATTTTCTCTATTTTTAAACACGTTCAAAACATCTTAAGAGGTGTGAAATGCCGTTTATAAAAAAAGTCTATTCGCACGAGGATAATAATGTGATTAAATTAATTGTCAAATGATTGGTTTTTTTTTTTAACGAACGATATTATCTACACTAAGATGGAGGGTGGGCTTAGTCTCATAATGGGCTAGCAATAATATGATTCAATCAATTGTTTATTAAATATTATTTTCTCTATTCTTAATGTAAATTCTATAAAAACCTGATTTTATTATGTGAATTTAACTGCTTTTATTAGTTTATGAGGAGTTTCTTCTAGCAGGATATAAAATTATTCATTTATTTCAAATATTTGACTTTCCTTTTGCCAATTTATGCATATAAATACATTTAAAACGTGCAAGTCACGTGTAGCAGACCGTGATTCAAAAAATACCTTCTGCACATGCGCATGAAGGCTAGTACACTTGTAAAACAAACACAAGTTACCCTAAATTGCCGATTTCATCTCTGAATTTCAACTTAGCTTTTGATTTCCCTCTAAATTTTTTAATTAAAAATTAAGGACTTAAACTAATATTTTGTCGTTTTTCCCTGTTGTTAGTTTTTCATTTATTCCACCAAATTTTTGTTAAATGAAAACATATGCACAACATATGAGGGTAATTTGGTCGCTTCATTCTTTAAAATAGTTGAAAACCCTAAATTTCTAAAATGTCGACCCGTGCAAATCTATGTAATTCTATAGCTTTTGTGTCTAAAGGTTTAGCAAAGTAACGTTTTTGTTCTCAAAGAAGAGTCACGTGGTGTGCACGTGATAAGAGTTAACGTTAATTTGGATAGAATCTATGAAAAACTAAAGATAGGATAAATCGGCCAAAAAAAATTAGTTTTAGTTCTTGATTTTCCAATTTAAAAGTTTAGGGGGGTAAATTGAAAGTTAGGTGAAAGTTCAAATGGGAGAAATGGGCAATTTACTCTTCTCTTTTTAAAGAAACTTACGTACAACTGAAATGCCAAATCTACAGTACTCTAAACTGCCAAGTGAGGCCATCCATCCATCATGTGTTGTTTTAATTTTCTTACATGACATCGTGTGATTAGTTTGAGATACTATCATTTTAGCAAACCCAGTTGTATGCAAGTTCTTCTCAACCGAGCCCCCAATAGGCTAAACATTTGGTTTTGGCAGCCCTTAAAGTTGCAAGAGAACCACCACAGCGTGAGGCTCCCTCCATGGCGACTCAGGCGGCCGGCGATCTGTAGTACAAACTGCATTTTTAAATTTTCAAAGATTTCCATATGGTTTCATAAAGAAAATGAAGTACACAGACAAAACAACTGCAAGGTGAAACAGCAACTTTTTCTATTGATTTAGCTCAAATACAACGATATTTCTCGTAAACAAGGAGAGGATAAAGAATCAATTGAATATTAAACGAGTGGCAGAGAAGAAACAAAAATCGAGTGACAGAAGCTGCATCCAAAATTTCCCAAAATTTCAACAGGGAGGCGTAACCTGTTGGCTTCGGCAGTTGAAGACGAAAGACGAAAACAAAAATGTTAAAAAGAATAAAGCGGTATATACATCGCCTCACTGCTGTTTACCTTCTTCGATAATCCACACTGAGGAACCTTTCATACTGTGTTCCCGTAAGTGTCTTTTGGACATCACCCCAATTCTCAATCTGACTAGATAAGTTACCTTTGTGTATCTTCACCTGGCGGCTCTTTAAATCCCTTTTTGGAACCTTGAGAAAATCTTGAACGTCAAGCAATTTCTGCAAACATACAAAATTGAAACTTTCAGAGATTGGTATTCTTTCTTTTCTACCCTTTTATCAGGGCGCTGACAAAAATACTACTGGTACACACGTAATAATTTATCGCAACAACAAGAGGAAATATCAGTTTAGCGTTCATATGGTTCTCTTACAGTGCGGTTTTTTACGATATCCTCATAGAATAGGATAATATGCCGGGTGCTCTTGAAATATTCCAAAGCTTTCGTACTTGTATCCTCTACTTGCTTCAGGTTGGGTATCAGCAAAGTTGCATTGATTATAGGCTTGTATTTTGCAAGTATCTCTGCCTGCACCCAGAACATGTAATGAGTCTGTATGTCAAGTCAAAAAGAAACAAGCAATTGACATTTACCTAGAAAGCATGCATACGAGGGAGGGAGAGACAGACCTCGTGAGGAGAATGAACATGAGACTTGTGGGTCCCATTCAGCAGCTTATTATCTCGGTCATACAAGTTTGCAAGCACAGAGATCATCCTCCGTAACAGGTTTCTCCGAAAGAGAAAGATAGCAGAAACACCTCGTGTATTGAAGTACTCTACTATTTCTTCATGATGCTGCATCAAGCCCTGCATAAATTGTTGCAATATTTAATTCGCTGGTCCATGCATAAAACAAGAAAATGCAGAGAAAAACACAATAAATTGTCTCATGAGCTAACCTACGCGTCAAATTCTACCTAGAGCAAGGAATCGAATACAAAAGTAAAGATAAATAATGAGTTTCAGGCCAATTGCTAATGAGAAACAAATTTGGATGGACATTTCAATGGACCAAATTAAATTACGAGATGGACATTCTAACTTAACCCAAATCCCAGTTCGTATCAAATTTCTTTCCGACCAAGACTTGCATCCATTTAACTATCATACCAAGCAAGCTTGAAATGTTACTCAGCTCAACCCCCTTCGCTAACAATAATTCTTTGGTTACAGTGAGATAGTCCTACACTTCCAAACAAAAGGTCGTCATTACTTGGAGGACATGCTTCTCTCAATGAAATGGAACAATGTGATGAACAATATCTAGATCCATCAGTTGCCATGAAATCTGTAAGCTTCTTGCTAATTTAAATTGTATTATCCCTTTGATACCCCAAATTAGGTTACTTGAAGGCTGGCTTCCTAATAGGCACATGGGTTGCAGTCAGGACAGGCGGTTTATGATGATAATAGGGCTGCCTACCTCTCTAAAATACGAGTGTTGAGCATTCATGCATCTATACATAATCTAAACAAAGCATTGAGTACCAT